CCAGGGCCGACGGCCTGGGACGCCCCAGCTGCCGCCTGCCCCCGGTGCCAGCAATGCCAGGAATCACTCCCATCACCAAACCCCACGTCTTCCAAAGGCGGATCTGAAGCCGGGAGGTTTTAAAGTCCTTTTTTTTCCCCATACCGCTGGCGTAGGCACTTAGTGTATCACCGACGTACAGATTTTATGTCCAGTTACATCCACAGAAGCTGTGGCTGCCCCCTCCCTGGCAGTGTTCAAGGCCAGGTTGGATGGAGCTCTGAGCAACCTGGTCTGGTGGAAGATGTCCCTGCTCATGGCAGGGGGTTGGAACCAGATGATCCTTAAGGTCCCTTCCAACCCCTACCATTCTATGATTCTAATCTCATGGCCAAATAGTGTCATGTTCTCAGACCGATTTAAACAACCAAAGGCCAAGAGGGCCCCCCACACCCTTCCTAAACACGACGATTTCTCTCATTTCCTTAAAAAAAAAGCCTTCAAGTTTTTCAGCTTTGTTTTCAGGTGTTATTTCTTCTTCCCTCTAAAAATGTACTCAAAGGATAAAGAACCCAATAACCTTCCTATGCGTCTATTTCACTTGATTTACCCGATTTACCTATCTTAAGGAAAAACAGTATAAACAGTGTGACCTGCTGGATTTTGGAGCTGCGATGCCCTCGACGCTGGGGAGGCCGGAGGGCCCTTCCCGCTATCCCCCCCCACCGCTGCCAACGGTTCCTCTGCATATGCAGGCACCAGAACGGATCGGGAAAGATCTCATGGCCAAATCCTTCGGAAATTAAATAAATTACAAAATAATTTATGAAAAGGGAGTCAGGGTCGTTTTGTTTAAATAGAGCTAGTTCGTGTTCTGCGTTGAACGGTCGAAGGTTTTGCTTGTTTCGCTCTCCACAGCGCGATGACGGAGCTCAGACACCGTCACCATGTCGAGTCGAGGGCTGAGAGCGACCAAAGGACGCTGCACCAGCGTTTCCCCTGCCCCTGCCCTCCCACCCGCGTGCATTCGGCTCTCTTCGAAATGCAAAGTGAAGACCAAACAGCCAACACCTTTCACACCCAGAAAAACCACGGTCGGCTTTAGGACGGGGGCTGCTGAAGACCGTATTGCCCTTCCAGGGCGTTGATAAACCACAGTGCTATTCATGTACTACAGGTAGAAAATAAATAAATACAGATATATTATGCAAAAAAACCTGTGATTGTACACATAATACATCTGAGGTATTACCAATTTAAATAAGGTTTCATGCTAGTTCAAGCTTCGGTGGCGAGTTAAATTCGGGAATTTGCAATAAATAGATGAAGAATGATGATGTATATAGTGTGTGGATCTCTCCTGTAAACCTTGTCCGATTTAAACGTAAGAGCGTGTTGGGCTAAGTCTTACGCAAACCACAAATTTTCACAATAAATACAGCTTCAAAAAGTCGTCTTCAAAAGTTCCTGCAACGCTGAAACATTTCGAGAAGGGGCTGCGTGTACGACTGGCAACGTTCACGAGGAGTATTTCCCAACAGGTCTTTTCATACAAAACACAAGGAAATTCATACGTGAAAGTCTTTTTCCCCTCCCTCCCCACCCCACCCCACCATGAAAGGTTAGAAATTTTTGCACAAACAGTGAGAGAACTGATTGTAGCTGCAGTATGTCAAAATGTCCACGTTCTATAAAGACCAAAAATAGTTTGTTTGCGTAGAAAGTCTTTTTTTTTTTTTTCCGTTATTTTTTCCTCCTTATTTTTGAGTAGCACATCATCCTTTCGGTGAAAGTTTGCCCATCCGACTGCTCGGTTTTCCTTGCAGCGCCAGTCCTTGCCACCCGAGCGCTTCACACTTTCACCGTCTCCATCAGCGATGACTTGATGGCATCCTCCAAAAGCTGATTGTCTGTGAAAGGGGCCGGGGTTTCGGGGACGGATTCAGACAAACCGATGAGGGACTCCAAGAAACAGGAGCCCTGATCTCCGGCTTGCGGGAAGCCGGGGAAATTCGGCAACTGAAACTGTAACGCTGAGAAGTTATCGAGGTTCTCGTACTCCTTTAAGGAGTTGTAAAGGGGTCCCAAGTTATAGTCCGAGAAGGACTGGAAGAAATCCAAGGAGTCAGAGGAAAGGCTGAGGTCGGCGTAGCTCTTGGAGCAGGGCTCGGCGGGGGACGAGGCGCAGCAGGACAGCCCGTCGCAGCGCGCGTGGGCAGCATCCTCCAGCAAAGCCCCGCCGTCCTGGTTGGCGTTCTCGTCCAGGCACTCGGAGAGGTGGGACAAGTGGCCCGGGACAGGCTTGGCCTCGCCGCTGTGGTCCTCGATGAAGAAGTCAGCGGGGTGGAAGCAGCTCAGGTCACCCTGGCCGCGGCCACCCTCTTCCCCAGCATCTGAGTC